CTACTAGACTCATACCAGAAAAGAACCTAAAATCCATAAAAAAGCAACAATAAACCCCTCGTAGTCCCTTAATGCAATTGTACCCTTTATTATATGACCCATACGACCCCCAAAAAACCGAAGTTCCCATACTCCTATTATCATTATATTCCGTATCTCAATATTATCGGAGATTAGATAAAATATAAATTCCATATTCGGATGACGAATCCTTACGATTGGATGCAACTTTAGTTACATTTCCATGACTTTTCCAAAACGTAGGGAAAAATATTGTTTTCCATAACTTTTCAAGGGCCTGGAATTAGCATTTTGCATTTTCATTACTTTTCCAGGTTTTTAATGACCGTAAGAACCCTGATTATTGAGGACAATATAAAGATATTATTGTTAAAGCTTGAAAGTTTGAAATGAATAAAAAAAGAATAGTGATTTCAGTCAAATGTTTGTCTCTATTTTTGGCAAATGAGGCGATGGTTTACCATGTTGACTATACACAATAGAGTCATATGTGTATTAGCAACATGATATCAATATTTCAGTTTTTAGATGTCACAGTTATCATAAGTAGCAGCTTATCACAACACCCCTAAAATATAGTAAGTAAACATCGAAATCAGTCAATCTAGAAATGTTGATTTGTGTGTTTGTGTGTTCATCATTTTTCAATCAATCAGGAAGTATACCTCAGTGCCATCTGCTGAAGTGAGCTGCCACTAGGAAGTGACATCATGAGGTCAGAGATGGTCTGCAGGAGGCGGTGGAAGGAGTGGGGGAGGGGATGAGCTGCCTCCCCGGCGATAACAATGTCTGACAGAGGATGTTCACAAACGCCAAGGTCTCTCTCCTGTAGGGTGAAGATGTGCACAATAAGAAAATGTAACAACAAAACAAAAGTAATGCTGCAGGTTGTTTTTGTCATTTAACCACTAATTACTGTGAGGGAAGCATTCTTCCTTTCTCCTAAGATATTTAACCTTAGTGCCTGTTGACGTTTACGACCAAACCCTGGCTCTGTTATCTCTCTTAAGGAATGGGAGGCTCCAGCTATCTTGATAAACCAGTTCAACTCTCAGTCAAAAAATGGTTTACGGCTGTGGGAACGCTGGCTTTCTAAGCTCCACAGATGTTTACGCCTCCCCCAATATGCTCATTAACTCTCTGTGAACTAGTTAAAAGGTCTATGGAGAGATAGGCTGATCAGAATTGACATGACAACCCACCCGTGCAGTCAGAACCTTTTGCTGCTGTGACTTGTGATATGAATTCTCCGGCCGTTTGACTTGTAATAAACATCATTGTTTGACATCAAAGCTCCAACTCTCCTCGTGTCTCTGAGTCCTGACTCTCCATTGCTGCAGAAGTGTCCCTTACAATTACCTGTTCCACATTTTCTTGCTTCCCCTTGTTCTCCTCGTCTTCGTCGTCCTCAGGTTCATACGGCGATGGGGTGAGAGATGCTACAAAATGCCAGAGGATGTCGTGCAGGGAGGTGGTCTGGATCACATTGCACAGCAGCCAGTTGAATGCCTGACACCAAGAAAAAAAAACATACCAATTAGTCTTCTTAGGATCCATAAACGATCTTGAGTCCAACTTGTCCATTAGCTAATTAAGTGTAATTGATTAACTACTGACAACTTAAAACTAATTGCACTGATTCCCTGCTGGATAGGGAACAACAATGAATACAAAGTAAATTGGAGATTCAGAGAAATATAGCAGCGTGTACCTCCATGGCAAACACCCTGCAGGCAGACTTCCTCAATGCGTGCCTCATGGCCACTTCCAGGCCCTCCAGGTCATGGTGCTGGATGACAAAAGCCAGAACAGGCCACTGGAAGTTCCTCTCCCCCTTACTGAGGGAGCCGTGGGCCGAGATCAGCCTGGACAGCTCAGGAGACGGGTGTCGTAACAGGGAAGATCCCACCTCTGTGTGGGGGGCAGAGCAGGTTAGTGTTGATGCTGTAAATCACTTATCATCAGTATTAGTTCTCTCATGGTCAAGTGTGTTTACCTGCATCACCACTATGGACCCTGCGTCTGGGAACAGCTTTGACCCGAGCTGGAGAGGGCGAGTGCTGCTTGTCATACTCGGATGCTACGACTGAGTAAGACCTCTGAAAGACTGTCCGTTTAGCCGTATCGCTGTCTGTGATCGGACTGGTCTCGAGACTAAGAAAAGAGAAATGAAAGACAGAAATAGACACGGTGATATGCCTTTAGCACAAAGATCATAAGTGCACAACTTAGAAACACTCATTTCATACCACAGTTTTCTTTGCTTGACAAAAACTATTTACTGGAGAATGGAGCAGCCAGGCTCTTTGCACTGTGCAACTAGTGTGATCATGATAAGGAGGCAAACAAAATGCTTGCTGTCAAGTTGAGGGAAAACAAGAGTCAAAGAACTAGCTATTAACAGAGAGTATATATGCATGACAATAAGGCATTATCTGCTCTAAGCATGGTGAAACAAAATCATATTATCTGCATTAATTATGGACTTTGGACTAAGATGCGTTACCTGGGGGGCATTGACTTCATGTTGTTCTCTGGTTCCTCGAACACATTTGGGCAGGCATCAGGTGTGACTGAAATATAAGGTGCAGGAACAGATGTTGAGCGCAGATACCTCATCTCATCTTGGAAGAGGTTTTCGTCTTGGTAGGCGCCAAAGTTCTCAGTGTGTTGCCTGAATGAATGAGAGGAAAGTGAGAGGGACTCAAATCATTATGCAAGCATGTGTTAATGTAGGGTTTTCTTATCTATATATGAAACAAGTGAGCTATTATCTACCTAGCTAGTGTCTGAAGGTAGAGGCAGCCAATTTTATTGGGGACTTCATCCGACACGCCCTCCTTGAGGCTGGGGAGCAGCTGGGAGTGCATGGGTCTGGTCGGGTGGTGGCACAGCATGCTGGGCTCGGCAGCGCTGCTGAGGGACAGCAGGAACAGAGCGTTTGCCCGAATCACCTGGTGGGCCTCCATAGTGGGCAGGGCCCTTGGCGTCTTCACCTGCAAGGGTTTCTTCCTGGATTGCTTCACCTGGTAGAAACATGTAGATTAGTTTTGATAATCTAAAAGAGTCAGTATGATACAAAAGGCTGAAGGGGTTTCAGGAACAGAGGGAAACACATTTAAAAAAGGTATAGTTCAGATTGATGGAGTGTAGTTGAATGAGGTATGTATACATGGTCAGTGTATTACCTACAGAAGATGGCAGTTGCTTCAACCCAAGTGCAACAAAATACATGTTAGACCCCTAAAAGAAAGGTCTACCATAAAATGTAATATAAAAAAAAGTATTCTAAATATACCGTACACTTAAATGTTATAAAATGTTTTGGATGGGCCTCTCTTTCAGTTGGCAAAAATACGCGCAGTCCACAGAAGTGAATTGCTTTGTGCTTCTCCCAACTCATAGCATGCCAATCGCCATCTACTAAAGACTATGAATAAGGACCTTATACCACCTCACTTCAAATAAACTGCACTATTTAGGCACTCAAACCTTGAAAAAGTAGGATACCTTTTCCCTGGCGGCAGTCTGTTTCTCTCTCAGGTATTTTTCCCGACAGCGATCACACACCAGGTACCAGGTGCTGCCTCCTATGCCTCCGTCTCCACAGTTCCCAGCCCAACCACCACAGAAGTGGCCAATGCTGTTATAGCCTTGGCCTCCAGCATAGCGGCCACAACCTGCCACGGAAAAATCAAGGTAAGATGTTTAAGACTCAGAGTACATTTTGGAAAATATATAATGACTGATGCCCTTAGAAAAAACAACAAGACTGTAACCAGAACTTCTGTTTCCTAACCTGGGTGAGCCTGTCTCATATGGTATGTGACGGGGTAAGGGTGAGACTCCCCGCACAGCTCACAGATGGTGTCTTTCTCCGGTCCTCCCATAGCCAGCTGTGCCATCTCTCCAAACAGATTTCCTCTCGGGCGCACATCTGCCTTGTCCCTCTTCTTCTTCTCCTTCTTTGTCTTCTTACCGTCTTTCTCATGTTCCTTCCTTTTAAGGATGGCACTTGACCCTGGGCTTGGGAAGATCATGTTCTGTGTCGCTGCATTGATGGTGGCCAAAGAAATGTCCTCCCAAAATGAGACCAGATGTTGTAACGTTAACGGTAGGATTGACTTCACCCTCATAACAGGATGAGAAGTGGTCTCATAGGAGGCGGCATCTCCTTTCCCCTCCTCACACTTTTCTGGCAGTGGAGGTTCTTTCAGCATGGACAGCACCTTGTTTTTGTTGATGCTTCCCATTTTGGAGATGTCTGGGCCATGTGGGGAAATATTAAACATGTTAAGTGCAGAAGAAATCTCTAAGGAGTGGCGGTTCTTTAGCTTGTTCTCCTTCTCCTCAGCAGCCTGTCCTCCCAGGGAGTTGCGGATGGGGGCGTGCTCTTTGGTTAAATCTGGGTTGAACTTGAGGAAGGACGAGCAGGCCATGGCATCGTGGACAATACCTTCATGCCACAGAAATGCTGCATAGACTGCTCGTGAACATTCAGCCACAGAGGGCGACATGGCCTGTTTGGCCGGCTCCGTGGCCCTCGATGCAGTCTCGCCTTTAAACAGAGGGCCAGATTTGTCCTTTTTAGGGCGCGCGTGGCGACTGGAGGTTTTGCGACTGACTTTGGGTGAAGCCCTGAGCTCTACTTCCTCTTTGACCGGAGCTTTGCCAATGCTGAAGTGCACCTTGTCTGATCCATTCTCAGCATTTTGAGCCTCCCCGTTCTCATCATTGCCATCCTCTGAGAGGAGAGCGCTAGAGGTGCACACCTCCACCACTTCACTGTGGAGGTTCTCCTGGGTCACATGTGGAGAAGGAACACGGTTCTCTGTGTTACTAATCAAATCTTGGTTTGGATCTTGGTTTGGGTCTTGGTTTGGATCTTGGTTTGGATCGTGGTTTGGGTCTTGGTTTGGATCTTGGTTTGGATCTTTAGGAGACAGTTTAGGTTTGGGAGAGGTCGACCTGCCTCTCAGTGGCTCTGTAAGTGGAACCTTCTTCTTTCTGAGTGTGTCCGGGTCCAGAGTGTAGGAATCTGATTTGGACCTCTCCCTAGGAGGGTCTAGGCGGGCTTTGGAGGAAGGTGAGAGGTTCTTGTCATGGTTGGCCGAAGACGAGTGCTGGGAAGAGATGCTGGAGGGACTGGACCTGCCTGAGGAGGATACACCCTTCTGTTTGGGAGAGGAGGAGCGAGAGCCTGGGTTTGGGGACTCGGCCCGAAGTCCTGGGGTCCTACCGTCTGCCTTCAGGGCCTGCAGAGTGTTGTGATTGGGCGAGTGGGAGCGGCTGTGAGAGTCTGACCTCAGTTTGGCCGTATCTGACCGCAGGATGAGGGCTTCGCTGGCAGAGAGCGCCTCCCCCGTCTTGCTCCTGCTCTGTTCGGACGAGCGGCCCCCCCGACCCTCCTGTTTGGGAGAGCGATTCTCCTGCCGGTGTTTGGAGGCCGGGGACATTGGCCGTGCACCGGGCATCAGGTTCCCTCTTTCACCTAGACATTAATAATGCAAACACGGTTACGACACAAAAGAGGACTGAACACTAAATCTGTGTTATGAGTGCTCCCAAATAATCCTAAGCACATTTTAAATCCGAGTGGAGAAGTATGTAATGTTAAAGTATAAGATAAAATGCAATGAGGGGCAGAATGACAGACAATGTAAGTCCAGAAGGGTGAATGATGTAATTCCTTGTAAAGCACATGATTGTACTTGCTTTGTGTTTCTCCAGCATCTTTTTCTGTCTATGAATGTTCCAGACAAACTCTGATATGAATGATAAGAAGTGGACCATGGGAAAGCTGATGAAAGATGGATTCCAGCCCAGTCCTTGGACCAATTCTACTAATATTGGATCTAGCTTTAGACTTTTAATATCAAGTCAATACTATTTAAGGACAACCTATTTTAAAACTAAACTCTAAATGCAAGCTCGTATGTTTTCGTTTGGCCATGTCCTATTGAGGGTCACAGTTTTTAAGGTCGACACTAACACAGATTAAAGATGTTTTGTCAGCATAGAGACACTCTGGTGTTTCTACCCACCCCTCTGTCCAGTCTGAGGGAGGCATGCTGTGATTACCCACCCTTTTGCCTTAGAGCGAGAGATGAGAGAGCAGTACCATGCCCAGCCACCGACACATTGCTTTTGCGCACTAGCTCGCGAGAAGCAAGGCGGCGTGATGAATCATCTACAGCGGAAAACAGTTGAGCAGGTAAACAAGGAGGGCATGACACGCAAGGGGGCCACCACAGAGAGGAAGAAAAGAAAGCACATAGAGGCAATGTCGTCAAGTTGAGAAGGTGAAAGAGAAAAACATGTTAAAGTGATGGGAAGATCGACAGGTAGGTAGAGAAACATGGAGAGCAACACTTACACAGAGAGAAAAGAAGTAACAGAGCCCTGGAGGTGTCATATCTCTTCATCTGTACCTTTATATGCCTTGTATAGAACTTAGGTGATCCATAGGGAGAGTGAAGGGTATATGCACAACAAGACGACAGGATCAGGATTATACATCACCTGCATATTATGAATGTATGCACACAAATGAAAATGTCTTTTTCCAGACACCTCCGGAGCTCCGTTAGAAATGGTAAGTAGTAAGTAAGTAGCAATACAATCGGACAAAGAGCTACACAGACAGAAAAAAGGTAATAAACAGATAATTGGGATCCCTTTCTTAGCTAAGCGTTATATTACATTTTGGAATTTTCTATTTGAACTAACCAGTGCGAGTGAAAGCTATTGTATGTATTATTTGAAATATGAATTAATGGCTGGTTTGAAGATTACATTTGCAGTGAAGCCTTGGGCTCGTTGAGACGGAGAATGAAATAAGTTGTTTTTTTAAGGATGGAAAATGCAGATCTGAAGCAGTGAGGAAGATGAGGAGGAAAATAATAAAAAAAGCTGATTTAACAAGATAGCAAGCAGAACAAAAAGCAAGTCAGCCTATCGCTTCAGCACAAGGCAAAAATATCCCTCAAGACATTCAGTCGAGTATTTAAGTTTGAAATCTTATCTCCAAAAACAAGTGAAAATGCCTCTCCATGCTTATTATTGAAAGGCAGGATCGCATCATTTGTTTTTTATAAGCAAGATTTAAACGTTAAATAACAGACATGTTGGCTTGTTGGGGATATTTCTGCAGCCTAGAACATAACTGCACTGTTATGCGTCACACATCGCTGCTGCCCTCCCCAGAAAACACATCAGATAGAATGAATACCGAACAAAATCAGGAAATCAAAAGCTAGGAGGGTAAGGACCAACACCTGTGCAAGCAAGCGCTGTCAGAAAGCAGGACAGACTTACTCAGAAGCTGTGGTTGTGGCTGAGACAGATGGGAGGGGGATTGTCCAAACACAAATGGGCTGTGGACAAGGGAGGAGGAGGGAGGAGGTTGGGCGGCTTGCTCAAATACGGAGGAAGAGGGAGCTTCTGAGAGGAAGGGCCCAGACTGAATGGTATTCAGTATGGCACTCAACCGGTCACCTGCAAACATGGAGACAGAGGATGGGGAGAAACTACAGCTTATACTAGGGTTTGAGGTTTCCAAAGAGGGGCAGGGTCATTCAGAGTTTACTTTTTATCAGTCATTCAGTTATCTCTCAGGACGCAACATATGTGCGAAATGGGAGGAGCTGCCATGGTCAAAGAAGTATGCTTGTTTTCTTCTATGGAAGAAGATTGGCAGGAGCACTTCCAAGACTTGGATTGGTATCCAAAAAGGTGGGACATGGGTCAAGAATCATCTGGTAAGACTTTGTGATATAAAAGTTGAAAAAGTATAATTCAAGGTTGATAAAAAATAGGGGGGAAGGGAGAAATGAACTACAACTCCCAATAAACTTTTGGAATTACATTTGCAAGATATAGGTTTTTAAATGACAAAAGAAGGAGACTTTGGAAACTTTAGACGGTCACAATGACACTACTGATTTCCTCAAGATATGAATAGCTGTTTGTATTGGGCAAAACAAGCGTAGAAGATACGTAAAGGAAATTTGTCAGATTAATGCAAAAGATGGGTCCGCCAAATAAAACATGTTCCTTATGTTGAAGCAGACATTTTTTATTTAGTTTCTGTGCTTTTCCTTATAAACGAATACTATTTTTCAATTGTTTTTACGCATTGTTGATATCATTACCGTTCAAAGAGTGGCTCCTCCCATTTTGCAATTTTATTTGGGGAAATTATTTATAAAAGGGAGGGGCATGAATTCATTTGAAGTCACTGTTTGGAAAAAGTGTGTTTCCTCTTCATAAGTTCCAAGAACATGGGAGAAATGTGAGCTTCCTCCATATACTGTTTATTGAGCTGACACTGAAACAGTAACCATTCAAAAGCTCTTGACACTACTGAGTAGCACTGTCGTTTTTGAACTGGCCATTTCATCAATCGTAGGAGCTGGAAATGGGAGGCTGCTTGGGTGAAGGCGGGATGGGGAAATTAACCTCCATGGCTGAATGTTGAAGCCGGAGAGACCTGTCAATAAGGTTGAATTGCTCAAAGAGCTTTGCCACACATCCATTAAGCTGACCAGTCTGAAGGTGATCTATCTATAATGCTGTCTCAACGCGTGAGCGGGGGCGATCACCTTGACATTGCATCTGGTAGCAAGCTGTAGACAGGGCACAGGATACATGTGCTTGCCCACAAACATTTGAGGTTTCATAATGAAAAGACACAGCACTTTATGGCCTTATTCTGTAGTGAATGCAAAAACGTGTCACTCAAATGGGATAGAGTTGTGTTTATTCAATTGACTTCTTTTATACTTCATCCCAATGATGCATTCAGAAAGCCAAGCGAGAATGCAACCAAGAAGCATTTGAGACAGATTGCTCAAACAACCTCGGAAAAGTTGGCGTTAAAAAGAAGAAAGATAAACTGTAAATCCATCTATCCCTCCATGTAGCCACACAAAGCTGATACATAGCCAAAGAGACACTGAAATGATGCATCTAGTTGTATTAAAGCAACAGGAAAATGTGCATAGAAAGCTTAACAGCATGTTAACAGCACCAGAACAATAACTTTGTGTTATCTGAACAACCATGCTTCTCTGATTAGAGTCAGGCCAGCCTCCTCTTTCCAGCAGAGAGGAAGAGGTAAGCCATTGAAAGACAATTGACAAAGCATCAGCATTAAGTTCAGTCAGAAAAGACACAGACACATCGGGGCAGACGTGTTTTGATGGAGTTTCGGATCGGAGGAGTTCATTCAGGTGATTCTTTAGTAATCAACCTTATTTAAGAAAACAAGGCTTTCGTAAATAATAAAATGTTTTCAAAGTGACTAAATTAAGGCAATAAAGAAAGCGTAAAGGATAAAGATACAGACACAAAGTGTCTAACTTAACAGAGCCCAGAGAGGTCAAAATGAACAGAAGCACACCGACTGGCCCATGCAAAAAGACACAGGCATATTATGCCCCACATCGCAGATATTTAAGGCATAAAATAGCAGCAAGAAACACAATAAAAAGCATGCAGAAATAAGAGATGATAGATCGGGGATTGGTGGAGATTTTAAGGAGAATGACCCATACAAGGTCACATACCTATTAAATGTGCCGTCAGATATTGTGGAGATCAAGTGATTTTTGATAGGATTTGATATTGTGAAATAATTGCATGACGTAAAATGGTGAAAATATCTAGAAATATACAACTAAAATGGGTTAGTGCATGGAAGAACTTGTAAAAAAAAGTCTTAGATCAAAGCATGGGGAAAAGTCAGATAGAGTATCTCAGAATAAAGCAGGGAATAAGGAAGAAAAAAGGTGCAGAGTGAAGTCAGAGGTGAGGTTTACTTTAGTAATAACAAAACATCCAAACCAAAAAAGTATTTGACTCCAACCTGAGGACTCAAAATATCCCAATTGAAATGTGCAGCATAAAGCAAAGTGGATGTGAAAGCAAAGTGAGATGCAGATTAAGGATGTGTTAAAGACAATGATTTTGTTTAAAAATAAAAAGTTGACCTTACCTTTGTTGTTGGAGATGCCGTAGTCAAAGCCCTGCGCTCCGTTTGAAGCTGCGGCTCTGTTGAAGGCCTGCACAGAGAAAGGGCTGGGAGGAGGGGTCTGGGCCCCTTGCTCAAGCAGTGCTTGTTCTAAAAAAAAGGAACAGAGTCAATGATGTCATCTTATTATTTATCACATTTTGAGGTTTGAACATTTCCCTCCATTGAGTGCGACTTACCGTCCTCGTGGCGAAGGTACTGATTCCCACCGCGGTCTCTGGCCAATGACCAGGCCTCGCCTTCATCGCTCTCACAGAACTCCACTACACTGTTCTTATCCAGCTGCACCCAGGTCCCCTCTGAGTTGACCACCTGATACACAAACAACACTCTTTATCCATACTCACACACTGAACACCATGTCACACACACAGTACATTTGCACACATGACACAAACTCTACAGTAGATCATTAACATGCAAACATTCAATTCATCTGCTTGACACGTACAAAAATCCACAGCAGTAGATCACATGAATTAGATTTTTTTGCATCAGCAGACACTGCGGGACAAAACTGATGTAGCTCAAATAAAATACAAACTTACTCTAAGAAAGGGGTAGCTTATTGAAAGGTAAATGCATGAGGTTGTTTTGTCTCAATTCCCTGAAGTATTATCATTTTTGAAAAAAGAAACAGACAGACGGAAGTATTAGTATGTGCAGTCTGCACCTCTCAGATCTCAGACAGGGCATTCCAGTACAGCTCAGAGAGGAAACTATTGAACAGCATGACACACCACAGCAGCCAATGAGAAGTCATATCCATTAGGGAGAGGAGGCCCCCCGACTCATCACCACGCAAACGACAATTTCAAAAGTACCAAAGTCATTGAAAGGATTGTTAGAAGTGCAAGAAAGACAAGGCACAGAAAAGGCTCCAGCATTTTGTGATCAGACTTCCACTGAGAAGACTCGGTGCAGCGGAGTATGACACCCTGAAACTGCAATGGATTCATAGACAAACTGAAATGAGTGAGTCAGGAAGCACGCAATGCTGCAGCCGCAGGAGTTGATAAGCCCTCAACGAGAGGAAAGATTCACAACACACACCCACACCCAGAAGCACCTGATGTATTTCCCTTAGAAAGAGAGGTTACATTCTTTACATTGACAATCATTTCAGTTTAGGACAAAGAGGAAACTCTGATTTATGAGAGTGAAGGCCAAAGTGTACTCACATTAGCTATATTACATTATGTTATCCAAACAGACTGGTTTATTCAACTAGCCACAAAAAAAAACACATTTCATTATTTGGGGTGAGTGCGTACCTCGCCTATGGCCTTGACCTTGTTGCCAAGAACTAACATTCCAATGGGGATACCCCTAAGGTTTGGGCAGCTTCTGATGTTGTGACCAGAGGGGCCGGTCTTCACTACCTTATAAAGCCCCGGGCCGCCGCCCTGCCCTGCCCTGTTCTGCACCCGAGAGGGGGCCTCGTGGGAAGGGCAGCTGCTCACCTCCTTTACGTTCTCCTCCGATTGGCCCCTGACCTCCTGCAAGAGGTGAGAGAATGGATTAGGGCCAAGGAACAAGAACAGGAGGAGGTTCAGACTGCTAAGTCCTAAGATACTGTGGTGAAGAGCCACTGGTAGAAGTATATGAACCAACGCTGTATGTATAAGTTAAATCTCAGACCCTATTAATTTTCTCCGATCAAGCTATTTAAGTGGATGTGTGACTTCATGGCCTTTAAGCAATGACATTTAACATGGCTTTCTTTGTGATAGTCAGTCGAAGAGATTGATAGCACTCTCATAATCAAATAAAAATGAAGCTATAGTCAGCAGCTGGTTATCTTAATTCAGCAAAAACAGCCATCTTTGATAAATTATTAATTTGATCTCATATTAAAAAGACATATTTTATGAACATGAACCGTATCTTAAATCTACTTGTTACTCTTTCTAAAAAGAATATATAGTCCAAGCCACAACCTGAAATTGTAACACTTCAGTTTTTTCATATATTAATCGAACAAGATATAATATCGTGCTGATTGGTTTAATTTATAAGTGCTGGTGGATTTTGTTACAGGCGAGAGTGAGGCTAACTGTTCTCCCCGTTTCAACCTTTATGCTAAGCTAAGCTAACGGGCTGCATGTTTATAGTTTCAGTACAGACGTGACAATGGTATCAATCTTATCATGTAACTCTCAGCAGATAGGAAATAAGCCTATTTCCCAACAGTTTAAAAGAATCCTTTAAACTCCTTTAAGAGGCTAAGTCATGCTAAATGGAGATACTCTTGTTTTACAATTACAAGACATCACGTCATGATATAGATGGCTGAAAAACGATATGGACTTTCATCCTAAAGAGCAGTTAGTGATATCCCAAAAATACAATTATCACCCACATATTGAAAATGCATGTATGCTACATACATTTGAAAAGCTTCAAAATTGTAATGATGCAGTTAAATAACCAATAGGTAAGTACTTCAAACAGTCTATGGGGAGGCATGCTATGAAACACAAGGATACAGGACTATCGATGACAAGCCTTTCAAAACAAGGTCTCATGCAACAGACAGGACATTAGTATATTAAACCCCATGCAACACACAAGCTAAAGCAGTAATTACTTAAACAATGTGATCACTGCACTTGGTCTATGGGACAGTAGTAGCCACGGATACTATTACTGATACTGTGTCGTCAAAATAAAACAAAACAGACAACCATGCAACTGTGGATTGACCTCTTAAGCCTTATTGCAACACTTTGGGAAGACTACACAGTCACAAGGGGGTGACTAAAGTGACAGTTACATGATCAGCTATGGGGCAGTCAAGCTATGTGTCCCTTTTCCATACAACTCACCTGTGGCGGGAAAATAGTTAAGGGAGTCCATGACAAATAGCCGATATCCCTGACTCCTTGGCTAGCGTTAAAGACATTCTGAGCAACAGATCGTGAGACAGTCAAGAAACAGTAGACGACTCGAGGCAGGAGAGAAAACAGTATGGGGGAAGGAGCTTGTGTATTTTTTTTTGGAAGAGAGAACACTTTTTGGCTTGGCTCCTCTGCATTTCAGTATCAGAGCTTATTTGACAACAAGGAGAAGAGAGGACAGAATCTGATGGGCCAGTTAGTGAAATTGTGGAGCACCCAAAAAAGGGGCCAAAAGGACTGTAAATACATTCGTACACACTTAACAATAAGTGTAAGATCAAATGCATTACAAAAATATGTAAAACCCATTTGAAGGGGCAGAAAATAAAACTGAAAGTTCACTCCAAACACCATACGGTGGTTATTTACAAATCCATGACCATTTGAAAATACACATAAGAGAAGAAACTTCCAAAAAAATTCCCCACTTGGATGATGTAGTGTGTCATGCTGTTCAGACAGACCTTACATGGAAGCCTCTAAGCACCTAAAGCATCCCAATCAGAGCAGTAGAGGTACAATTTCCCATTTAAACTTTTTGGTGACCAGTGATTGCTTCATGACAGAAAACCACCTGGATATTAACATATTTCAGATACTTCCGCTGCATATTCATGGGTCAAATGATCACATTCTATTTTGATTCTGTTGCATTTTTGGTAGTTTTTGTGCCATGGAGCAAAATGTAAGACAAACCCTTTTATTCACATGCTGTGCTTTGAGGTTGCTTATGAGTGAGGGGCAATGAGGGAAAGAGGACTGAACAGTGCAGACTAACCAACTTCACCACAGGATGAAATTGCTCTTTTTATACCTTTTACCTCGTCTGTCATTTCTGCATTGGGGCTCGCATCAATGCACTAAACATAAACTAAAAGTGCTGTGTCCTGAAGACAAAGCGGTTACTCTATGGTCAACTGCTTTATGAGTATTGCATGCAAGCTCCCAGCTGCTGTTCCTTTGTACAGTGCGTTAGTCAAATTGTCATAGTCAGCATTGCTCATAGAGATGTTTCATGCAAGAGAACACCCCAAGAAGTATTAGATGTTTGGTTATTTGTTACTCTGATGAGGTTCTCAAAGCCACATGCTTCAAGTACATTTGGGGAGTAGGTGCCAAAAGCGAAGAGAATCTCTGAGCTTTTCCCCAAATGAACAGCACAGGAGCCTCTGTCATTATTAAAGTGCTCAGCAGGCCTTCTTCTACTTACGTCGGCTGGGACCAGTAGGCTCCGGCCCAGGTGCTGGTTAAAGGAGAGGCACCAGGCTTCAGTGTACCCGTTCATGCTGGGAACATACTTCTTTACTGTTTCATCATTGAGCCTGAGCCACACACCATCATCGTTATGGATCTACGGGAAGACAAGCAGCAGAGAAGAGCCATGCCGTCCTGTTACTATGGAAACAGGATAGACAGTGCCCTCACACACACACACACTTGTATAAACACAGACACACTCAACACTTCAGAGGTGGCAGAAAAGTCTTAAATCACATTAGATGACAGAAAATGCAAGTGCATTTAAGACATTTAAGAAATGTCACTAGTGCTGCTACCAAAGGGAGGGAGTGCAGATGTTGTGCAAGACTGAAAAATATAAAGACTATGTCTGCATTAAAGTGCTGTAATTTTATTTTGGAGTTATATGCATCACATCCTTTGGATTTATGTTGCACAACTTCGTATAGCGTCAAATGCCTTGCAAGAGTATGAAGCAAATTAAAGTTAAGAGCAACACATTTATACGCTTTGAAAGAAAGAAGTTATCATTATTTAGAGAGGTAATAACACATAATACACAGAAGCCACCAAGCAGGACTCAAAACTCCCTAGAAGTAGCATTCCAGACAAAAAAAATGTGAATAATAAAACACTAATAATAGTATCCTAACTGATTTAAAGAAGAAGCTACAAGGAAATAGAATAAAAGTGGAAGTGCTTCAGGTAGTATATGAAATTACTTATATTCTGCCTGGTCTAGAGTCAATTACCTCGTCAATGAAAGTGATGGTGCCATTGACATGCACTATGCCTATCTGTTCACTCTGCAGGGAGGGGTGACTACGCACACGCAGGCCTGCGCTGTCCTTGGACACAAATTTGCGGACCTGAGAGAAGCAGAGGGGAGATGGAGACTGTGAGCGGCAGGAGCAAAGAATAAAAAGAAAAAAAAGACAAGAAGTGCAGCAGGAGGAGAAAGAAGAGGCAGCAGGACAAGAGAGATTGCATGCTTCTACGCCCCCGGAGCCTGCTTCAAGTACACTCATACAAACAGCAGTATTCTAGGAGCTCTATTTTCAGCAGCACCAGTTTGAAAAGGTTTGTTTTAATCCTCCCATTAACATTCATACTGGTCCATGGAAAGCCACTGAAGACACATTCAGAATGTATATACAGTGTTGTTTAAAGGCTCATAATGAAGCTTTTTCCTTATTACAATATGCTTAGAATATAAGCAAGCAAATGCGTTTTTGCATATTCAACAAAGTAAAGAAACCTCGCACTTGAGTTCTCTTTTTTTTTTAAATCATCTGATGAATGCAAAGGAGGTCCAGCCCTGCTTTATTCTGCCAGGTTTTGATTACAAATATCTGCTTCCGTTTGTTTGTATTTGATGGGTGATTCCAAGCATGCATGCATTTATAGGTGTGTTCATGTGCATGTTCATCCACATGGTTGGTTAATCAAAAGACAAAGCTCACCTTGTTTGGCTGAGGTTCAGCCTTTGGTTTGACCATCTGAGTTCCAGGTGGTATCATGCCTTTGGGAGGGTCTTTGACCTCTACTTCCATACCAGCATCTACAAGGACAGATTTACAGCTCATAGTAAAAAGACAGCGATTCTCTGTGCATTCGAAAAGGGCTTAAAAAAGAGTGCATTATGTAAAGTGGCTTCTTCCTGTTTTGGGATAGTCATGACTGAGCCCTTTGATTTACTTTGTGGGAAGTACTTTAGAGATCTACATTTCATTGACATACCTATTTCAATGCCGTCGATGGTGACATGGATGGTGTAGAGGCCGACTGCTCCGGGGGTCCAGTTGGCGCTGTAGGTTCCGTCAGTGTTTGCACGAATCAGCATGTTCTCACTGGGTCTGTGTGGGAAATGATCAATAAGTAGATTGTATCTTACTGGAAAAAGCTTTTTGTCTCTGCATTACCGCACTTACCTCTTTGGGGTGGGGGAAGCGAAGCGCAGCTCTTCAAACGAGTAGTTTTCATATGCCTACAAAAGACAAAGAGCGGAAGTATTAAGGTAAACAAAACAACATTGGTACCTAGATGTAGTTCTTATTTTTTATAGAATAGGAAAGACAGTCCCTTAATCAAAACTCTACTTATAAACAGGTCTATAATTGTAATATCAGTCATCTTTGAATTATGTATCTATACGATTCATTCAGCCAGATTTGCTTAAAAATGTTGAATTGTGTATTGCTTCCTCAATGACTGTTACTTTGTGCATGTCCACAGGTCAGCATGTATGCAACTAATCTGACAATTGCCCAGCAGCTCCCCCTTATGGAGCTTCTGCAGCCCTCCAAATGTAAACAAGTGAGGATACAAGTGAGTAATGATTCATGAACACAGGGCTGACCTTCATCATGGTAATAGCAATGTATCGAGCCTCTTTCACAATCATGGGCTCGTACGTGGCTTCCAGCTTGGGCATCGGCAAACCTCCGAAGGTAAGGTCAGGGCCAGAGGACGAAGGAGAGGAGCTTCCAGGGAGCCGCTGCAGCCTTTTCACATTCTCAGGGTGCATCGACTTCTTCTGTGACACAGGGACAGCCTTTACCTCCACCTGGAAATGTGAATTATAAGAAACAGAAGTCAGAGATTTGCTATAGAGTGGCGAAGTCCCGCCCATCTACTTCCGACCCATGGGACCTTATTTCGGAAAAATCATGTATTGAAGTCAATGGGGAGAGAAAGATTATCTTTCGATCCCGTTTGAATTGTGCCATGAATTACACACATATATGATGTTTGTCAATCTTAAAAAATAATTTCCATGTCAAAAAGGTCAGTTTGTCGTAAAACTGTTGAAATATAAGACTATGAACAATACGCAACTAGAAAGACTACAAATCCCAGAATCCCGGTCCCGCATGCTGGCTCTCTTACGGAACCGACTAACTTGTGTGTATGTGCAGCTCTCAACATGCCCAGACTTGTAGTGGGTTTCTCCTCGTTTAATACTTTTTGCCTCATTCTGAAAGAAAGAAGTGAAATGTGCCAACGTGACGGCCATCTTGGTGTGTGGTGCGGTTTCACACGCAAAAAAGTGTTACTTCACAGTTTTACGACATCATGTGTGTAATTCGTGGCACAATTCAAACGGGATCGAAAGATAATCTTTCTGTCGCCATTGACTTCAATACATAATTTTTCCGAAATAAGGTCCCATGGATTTGGTATCCAACAATACACAATATATAATATATATATATCTTGGAAGCAGAAAAGCCAAAGTAATCATCCTGACCTTCATGTGAGGAACATGTACCACATCTCCATACTGGTCTTTGGTCTGTACCACCACGGTAGTCGGCCATCCACAGCGTATGTCATCTTTGTTCAGGATCAGAGATGTCTTCTGTGGGTCTGCGTAAGAGTCTGGCTGCAGCCATCTGGATGTAGGAAACAAATAGAGAGACAGGGTTGTAGATTCCTAATCTGTAATGAAGGACTCATCAATACAACTTAAACACAGAGGGAAAGCTAACATAAATGTACAACCAGAATGAAAACACAAAGTAGATACATTGCTCCACTTCATTGAGCTATGAAGGCTCCACTTACGCCTGTCACGATAATTAATTTTGTTGGGCGATAACTTTTCCCGGAAATTATTGCGATAAACGATAATATTGTCGGCACCGTTGTAAGACCATTTTAGACCACTGACATAATGATAATATATAATAATAATTCAAGTACATCCTTTCAAACAGAACTTTTAAAGTTCTGTTTGAAAGGATGTACTTGAATTATTATTATATATTATCATTATGTCAGTGGTCTAAAATGGTCTTACAACGGTGCCGACAATATTATCGTNGACCCGGAAACCACACCAGTAAGCCAGATTATTGAGCAGCGAGCCTCGCAACTTCCCGACCAATCAGAGCACACTGGGCTCACAGTGAGGGGGGGGCGGAGCTCCAACAAGCCGTTTAGGACAGAGTGAATACCAGTGAATACACATTTACAGAGATGCTGTATGAGAAACCAATGTGAGTTTGGAAAATTGCACAATATAAATCTATTTTAGTAGACCTCAACAATGGAATTATGATCATTAGAAATGGCCATGACATGGGACCTTTAAATGCTGTGGAAGCCGTGGCGCTATAAAAAGCACAACCAATCATCTGAGCCGGCCCGGCTAAAATAACTGGATGGCCTACCTGCCTGTCAGCCTTCCATCTCGTGCAAAAACTTATCTCGTGCCCTCATTGGTCATGTGCGCGTTCGTGTGTGTTGGAGGAGGGGCTCTGTAAGGAAGTTTGAAGGAAAAGGCAGATTATTTTCAGCTGCGTACTTTCAAATTCTAGCGCACTCGAGCTGGTTTCTCCATTCTTACCTAGCCAACCTTTAAGTGGGTAGGACAGATGTTTGTCTCTTTATTTAATTATTATCACAGATATTACTGTCTGCTTCGGGCTGGACATTAGCACTATCATTGCCATGGTTACTGTCACTCAAAGGCAGTCCTCGTCACCACTGTTTCTAACCCAGTCTGTTGTCAAGGAAACAACTCCTCCTCCCCTGAGCACCTGGGAAGGGTCCCTCTGCTGTTGTGTCTGGCTCTCTGTTGTCAGCAGAGTGTTATAAATAGATTATTACTGAACAGATGTGTTTGATTTCAGGCGTTCATTTTAGATAGTGTATCTTTTAGAGACTACCCATTTTGTCTCTGTTCTGTTTTTCTCCAATTGTCTTTGCAATGACGTATTACAAACCCAAATGGAACAGATTTCCTTGACATTTAGTTAAAATGTGCAATATCTTTGGATGGGTACCTGGCTACTGCTGACCTTCACAATAAGATGACATCCATTACTTGTACATCAGTGTACCTGGGGTAATGCACACTTTGAGTGGGGGATGGTCTTCATGCAGAGGACATAGAACATGCCTTTTATTAAGAATTTAATATTTGCATTAAAAGCTTGGAATTCCTCTTCAAATGTATTAATCAGCCTCATGTGGTAATGTAGTTAGTTTTACACGTTTGACTACATATCTTCTTGTATCCTTTCTTTTAAGGTTGATGGACTAAACTCGCTGCACTCCGTAAAGGCTTCCCCGAACCGTTTCACCAAAACAAGTCAGGGCCGGAGTTGGAACACGGGCAATGGCTCTCCGGATGCCATCTGTATGACGGTGGACAAGCCAGGCGTTGTGCTGGTGGGCGTTTGCGTCTACGGAGGAGGGGGCATCCATGAGTATGAATTAGAGGTGCTGGCTGATGATGTAAGTGATATTATATTTTATAATATTTTATTCATTGTACAAGATTTCTTGGTATTTTCAAAACTTTTGTCCCTTCCTCCTTTAGGCGCAGACAGAGCACCCGGGCGACTCAGCACATACTCACAGGTGGACGTCCCTGGAGCTGGTGAAGGGCACCTACAGCACTGATGATTCTCCCAGTGATATTGCTGAGGTCCGCCTGGATAAGGCTGTGCCACTCAAGGTACAGAGTCTCAAGAAAATAAGAAAGCATATGATTTGCTGTTGGGATACAAATGTTAAGATATCATATGCTGTAACCATAATATCGTACCACATTCTATGAAGCCCATGAGTGAGTTTTGTTTAGGTAAATATCCTTCATTCAGTTGTTCCTCCGTAAATAAATTGTTCTTATAAATTTACAATACTAGATTATTTATTTTACAAGCAGATTATACTGAATTAGTCATTGGCATCATATAAAGTGTTACCCTTTTCACAGTCATGTTGTGATAGTCGTTAAAATGCATATAATCTCACTGATTAATTTCTTCTGTTGCAGGAGGGGGTGAAGTACGCTGTCCGATTGCGGAACTACGGCAGCCGGACGGCTAACGGTGATGGAGGCATGACCACGGTGCAGTGCTCTGATGGTGTCTCCTTCACCTTCAGCACCTGCAGCTTGAGTAGCAATGGCACCAACCAGACCAGAGGGCAGATCCCACAGATCCTCTACTACAGGTAAACACAAAGCCCGCATTTTATAACATCTCATATCTGAGGAATTTGAGGTTCTTTTTTTCTGACCTGAGTTTTTCTCCCTTTTTAAAGGAGCGAGTATGATGGGGATCTTCAGTCTCAGCTGCTGAGCAAAGCCAATGAGGAGGACAAGAACTGTAGCAGAGCTCTGTCTGTGGTCAGTGCCGTGGTCAGAGCTGCAAAGGATCTGCTAAACAGAGCTTTTGCTGTTGATGGTGAGCGTCACAAACTTGCACCTGTATTACAAAAGCACTGGTGTAGAGCCACTCGTATTTCATTTAGATTGTATCTGTTCAGCCTCTCATTCGTTTTATCTGTCCTCTGTTATCTCCAGTGGATGACATTCCTGAGCTGCTAAGTTCGTCCAGCCTGTTCTCCATGCTGCTGCCTCTTATCCTGGCCTACATCGGCCCTGTAGCTGCGTCTGTACCTAAGGTAAGAGGTCAAGTCAGGGAACCAAAAGTAAATGGTCTTCTGATGTGGCATTGTGGTAAAATGCCTGCTCTTCCTCATCCAGGCTGCTGTTGAGGTGTTTGGCCTCGTTCAGGAGCTGCTACCCGCCGTCTCAGCCCTCAACCAGAAGTACGCCCCACCCACCTTCAACCCCAACCAGTCAACAGACAGCACGACTGGCAACCAGCCCGAGCAGGGCCTTTCAGCCTGTACCACCTCAAACCACTACGCAGTTATCGAGAGTGATCACCCTTATAAACAATCTGGTGTCACCCAATACAGGGTAAGGTATCAGTTATTATGCTAATAGCAAGGACATCTGAAAAACACACAAATAATTTAAGTGTAATCTAATCTTACCCTGTCTCACCGTGCCTCAGGTATCATTTCCAGACTGTGTGCGCTGGACCACTATTGAGTTTGATCAACAGTGTGGCACTGCGCAGCCAGAGGACGTCATTCGCCTGCTCATCCCCAGCCGAACCCTCCACCTGTCCAGTCTGGGGGGCAAACCGTTGATCCATGACACCATCAACACCTGGACTGAGCTCAAGAAGTTCTCAGGATCCACCGGATGGCCTACAACTGTCCTAGTGCTGCCAGGTAGGAGAGCGTGAGAAAGGAACAGTTATTGATAAATATGATTAATACAACTGCGCAAACCGCTGCTCAGGCCTGACGTCAGCCTCTTAAGCAACAATAGTATTTGGGATGATGTGGCGTTTACTTTAATTTTGGAAACTGAGGGCAGAAATAACTCTAAAGAGGTGCTAAACGTTTATTCTTACAATCTAGTTGAAGTAATTGTTTTTTTTTGTTCACATATGTGCTTTTATCTGCGTAGTGGTGCTGAGCCACCTGCTACAACAGGCAGGCAGCCATTAGTCAAAAGTGATTATGTTTATTACTCCGACATCCTGTCTCTGTTTAAATATTCCATATTTCCGTTCTCTCTACTTTAAGGAAATGAAGTTTTGTTCTCACTGGAAACAGCGTCAGACTACGTGAAAGATGAGAAAGCTTCCTTTTATGGCTTCAAGTGCGTGGCTGTGGGATACGAATTCAATCCTGGTCCTGATGAGGTACTGACTTGTCCCTTCCTGTTTTCTGTATAAAAGGGTGTTTGTTTTTGAGAATTAAGAGTTCTCAAGTCTGCATTTTGTATGTAATCTCCATGATGCATTGGTCTAGGCAGGGAAAATGTTGAATGTTACAAAACCATCCTGACCTTAACATCATTGACCTTTCAGGGAATCATCCAGCTGGAGAAAGAGTTGGCCTTCCTGGGCAGTGTGTGTGCTGCAGCTCTGATGAAGAAAGACCTGGCCCTCCCTATAGGTATGTGAACAGGGGATGAGGGAATTTGGGGATCCATGTTGGGGATCCATGTTGGGGATCCATGTTGGGGATGTTGTGTTTTTTAATACTCTTAATTCTGGGGATCCAGGTTCTAAGTCTTATCTCAAATGTTGGTGCTCTTCACCCTCTTGTGGCCACATTAAGTATTACAAAAACACAACATAACTCCATCAGGAGACAACAATTTTTTATCAGATTTAGAAAAAAGCATCACTAGATTGTTCTCCTCTGACCTAACTTTAAATCTGTAATTATTATTTGTACTTCAAGGCAATGAATTGGAGGAGGATCTGGAGATTCTTGAGGAAGCCTCTCTTCAGGTGTGTCACCTTTTAAATTCAGAGGTCATCTTTTGGACTTATTGTGGTTTTAAAAGAAATATTTGATACTTTCTGCACTCTACCTTCCTTGATTCTTATTTCCTTGACCTCACCCAGGTGTGTAAGTCCCATGCAGGGATCCTGGGAAAGGGTCTGGCCTTGTCTCACTCTCCCACCATCTTGGAGGCTCTGGAGGGAAATCTGCCCCTGCACCTCCAAACCAATGAGCACTCTTTCCTGGAGGACTTCATCACATGTGTAGAGACCTCAAGTGGAGGACGTCTGGCAAGGTACATGATAGTGGAGCTAGGCCTGTCACGATAAGCAGATAATTGACTTATGGTACGATAAATAAAAATGAACTCCGATAACTTTTCTGACCTCGATAAATTGCCGTTTACATGCGTGTTTGTTTACATAAGGATGTGACCAGCATTTTAGCCAGGTGTGCTGTGTCTGCCGGCCAGGCGCGCCGTGAGGGGCGGGGCTTACACACAGCCAGGTCAGGGGACACTCCGCGTGCAGCAGTGTAGCAGCCAAATGAATAATATAGAGACAAGCAGGAGACAACGTGTGACTTACTCGAGGGGTATTTGAAGTTAAATGGAATTGGTTGCAAAACCTAATTCCACATCTCCGGTGTGTGGGAATATTTTGGATTTAAGCCAAATCAACGAGGCGAACTTACGGAATTGAATTTTTTGTTTTAAAAAGGTAGCAACAAAAGCTAGCAATACGACCAGCCTTAAACTGCACCTGAAACACAACCACCCCATTCCGTTTTCCCAGCTGGGAGCAAACACGGCAGCTGGAGAGCCCCCACCTTCCCGACAGTTTACAATCAAAGATGCATTTGCCCGACAATGCAAACATGTTGGTGTTCCTTGCTGGAAATCTTTGATTGATACAGATTTGGATATGGCCTGTTGAGGTTTTTTTTGCTTGTGTGCTCATATTTATTTATGTATTTGTATATGTGTATAGAGAGGGAGAGAGCTCTGTTTTCCAGCCTGAGTCTATTTAATATATTGTTTTGTGTGATTTAATTAATTGTTTATAATTTAATTGATTTGTTGATTTATTATATATAATTTATATATTTGAACATTATTTCACATTTCATTTGCAATGTTGAATGTTCAATAAAAAAAGTTCTGTTTGAAAGGATGTACTTGAATTATTATTTTATATTATCATTATGTCAGTGGTCTAAAATGGTCTTACAACGGTGCCGACAATATTATCGTTTATCGCAATAATTTCCGGGAAAAGTTATCGCCCAACAAAATTAATTACCGTGACAGGCGTAACAACACGTCTGTCTCAGTGGAAAACAAAAAGACAATCAAATATAATTCCATAACATTTGTTGCTGTTCTTTCAGATCTGGGTGATGGCTTTGTCCGTGTGCTTCATCTTCACCGTCACCATTGGAACATTCCCGGCTGTCACAGTGGAGGTCAAGACGACGGTGGCAAATGGAGGAGCCTGGGGTGAGTCTCCATCTCTAACATCTGTACAAAGCTGCAGGAGCTACTGAGCCACNTGGTCGGGAAGTTGCGAGGCTCGCTGCTCAATAACCTGGCTTACTGGTGTGGTTTCCGGGTCTGCGATACAGCGGGACAGCACGAAACTAATCCTGAGCACACACAAACACTCACAGCCGAAGTAAAAACAATAAGTGTGGCTTAATATTGAGTAAGAAAAAGGTTTATAACGCTGTGAGAATGGGTCTGCAGAGAGCATTTCTCCGCGATCCCAACTCGTCTATTACCAACCAGGGAGCTCTACGCAAGTCAATGGGACTCCCTGTTAGTTGAAATAGTACGCTAAAGGTCTTGGTGTGTGAGGAAATCCGCGGATTGGTCCATTTTGGTTCCCGGAAGAAACAAATGGAAAAAGATAAATCTCCAACGAGGCGTTCTGGGGCAGCATAGACAGGTCTTTTCTGTGTTAGAGTTTTACTCGCTACAGGGTGTACTTTGAGAGTTTACTGCAGACCGTTTACATGTAAAAAACCTTCATAACACACAAGGGGAGGGGTAATAACCGGAAAAGCATGAAATGGGACCTTCAATATATTCACTGCTTTCGGCATGTTAAGAGCATTCCATGGAATATAACAAAGATAATTACCAACCCCACCTTTAATGACTCAGCACACCGTTAAAACAATAAATCAAACCTCTTTTCTGTTACTGATTTTTGGCAACAGTAGAAACATCATCTTGTTCCAAGAAAAATACGTCACTATGGAAAGTTGATTTGGTAACTATATACACTGTAGCTTCAAGTAAGGTTATAGAATGAGGAAGAATAAAAAGGGAAAAAGCAAGGAATGACATGTAATCAAGATCTCATCTGTAACTTAGAAAATCTGGACTGTGATAAAGAAGATGATGATTAACAAGTGATTAACAAGTGATTAACAATGTTGTTGATGCTGCAGGTTGAACGGTGAAACAGAGGAAAGGTCAGTTTTTTCTGAAAACAAAACAACCAGAATCCTATAAAACCCTGTTTAATCTCTTGTTCCTGGATGAGGGTCCTTTGCCCCTGCCATCATGACATCTGGTGAGTAATAAAAGACCCTGAGCTTTGACAGCAATATTGTATAACTCTATAATCACTTAATCTAAATAATCGATCATCATAAAATAAAAAAATGTATTGCGTCATGGGAAGTTACCTCGGAGCCCAGGGCCGAGGCGGTGAGCTCAGAGACGATGGAGGCCAGCAGACCACAGGTGTTGGAGACAAGGTGCGGTGAAAACAGCTCCACCTCCTTCCTCAAACTCTTCCTCACAGGCAGCACCACAATCACCAGCATCTTCTCCAACACCTCCCGGAAACTGGTCATGCCCATCAGGTTCTCCTCCGTCTGAGAGGGAGAAAAATAATACTGTCTTAATAGTTAGGTAACTGAAGTATTACAACAAGCATATGTCGTAATGATCAAATACCATAATGTTCTCCATCTCTAGAAACACACATAAGCACCCATGTCCACCATTTTGAAGTGAAGATACCTGATGAACAGTAAGTATATCATGTGCTAACACTCACATGGCTTAGTTTCTCCATGTGGGCGACCAGCAGGGGGAAGCGGTGAGCGAGGGCAGAGTCGTTCTCTGTGCTGACTTGTTTGACCAGCGAACGCAGCAGCACTTCCCCGTCGTACGCGATGGGCAGGATGGATGTCAGCTTCACAGAAGTGTGGCACAGAGCGGACATTACAGCTGCCAACAGACGGCTGCTGGATGTGCGAAAGTTGGCCTCAGCAATGTCCTAAAAAAACAGGGAGGACAAGAAGAATTAATCTCTGACTTTATAACCGCTTTGAAAAATGTCTACAATGTGTATTTAACAACCTTAGAGAATGTCAGAATGAAGCTGTGGTTTTAAACTTTTAATGAGTTGTCTTGATATGACCTCAATATATCTATCAATTTTTACTTTATATTAAGGCCTTCTAAATTTTAAAACAGTCTTGAATATTTTTATAGTTTAATGAATTGGTGGCAAGTCGAGTGACGAAAAATGTATGAGCAACTATCTAGATATTTGTTCATTTCAGGAATCAGGAAATACATTGTTCTTGCTTTTCTGTTTTTGTAATAATTGGAAATTAAATATCTTCTGATATAGGACTGCTGCTTGAACAACAGAAGCCGTTACCATGGAGTTAAGGAAGATGTTTGCGAATCGCCATATAATATACCGCAGATGAATCAGAAAAACAACAGCTTCTAATAATTATTAACCAGTTTCAGTCCTACTTTAAAAGCTCTTTCTAGGCTACAGTGACATGGTGCAACGTTATTGACCTGGTCGAGACAGTTGAGCAGGTCACAGAGGCAGGCCCACTGCAGAGCCGGGGTCGGGTAGAAAGAGTGGAAGCAGGCAGTGAACGTGTTGTGGCACTCCTGCAGCACAGCTTCCAGCAGGGTCAGAGGCTGAGACAGGTAGCCCTGGGGGTCGTTGTCCAGCTTAGTCAGGCAGTTGTCCATGCCTTCTGAGAGGATCTTCTTCAGCAGGCTGCGCGTCTTTCCCACGCACTCTGCCAGCTTGCTCGACTCCTCCACCACAGCTTTGGTGCTGGCTGGAAATCAAAGAACACACAGAAAAGGAAAACATCACTTGATCTTATCAGAAGCCACACACTAAATGAAGGGGATCATTTGAAATGTACTTTTTGAAATATAAACACATTCTAGTCTGTTCAGGATTTAACGATCAGACATAACATGTTGGCACAGTGACTACTCCGTTCTTAAATGATTAAGGATGGATATTGTTTCTCAAACAGAAAACACATTTTTGTGGTTTTCACAAGCATTTTATTGCCAAATACTAATTGTGAGCTGTGCTCCTACCAGCAATGGGAAATATCTCACAGATGTAGACCCTGAGCAGGCGGAGACAGCATGTGCCAACAAAGCGCAGTCTCTCCAGGTCCAGCAGGGTGGCTGTGTACTGGAAGCCTTTCAGCCCTCGCAGCTCCTCCACACCCAAAACCAGGGTGGTCCAGCTCCAGTGAAGGACACTCAGCAGAGACTCAAAACACTCCTACAGAGACAGAGTTAGACAGTTACACAAAGTCCAGTAAACCTTACAAAGCCCTACTTGAAAGTAGCCCTTAAAGCATGAGGAAACATTTAGGGGAACACTATAAGACATAAAGACAGTACTCACCACTGAGACGGTTCGAGCGAATGAGCGTTTAAGGATATGGACCGGTTCACTGGTCTGCTGTTTTCCTTTAGCTGCATTGCCATCATTTGAAGGAAGCCTGATGTTCAAACATAAAGAGACAATCAAAATAATTTACTTACAAACCTATAGACAAAATATGCGTGAATCACATTCAAGGACTTTACTTGCCTGTAAAGTAGCTGTGGTATCTGACCCGCGTTAACATCTGTACCGTTGTTTGACTTCTTCGAGCTTTTGAACTGAAAGACCACACTAAAAAGGGAAAAACAAAACATTCAAAATGAAAATTTGTGTGACCAATTTTCAGATTGAGACATTATAGAACCAAATGATGCCTATGGAGAATGTGAAATGTTTGTTTACCCATCATCTGTTGTAATGGTTGCCTGTCCATGGGAGCCACAGTCACTGCTGGGTCCAGAGACTCGGGCCCACGCCACATACCACCAGCCCAGCTGCAGCAGCACCGGCTCATCAAACATCATGGCGTATTTCTCCCTACAGATAACCCACATTAACATTAATTCCACATCATTTTCTTTACATGAAAGATGCATGAGAACAGAAGGGAAACACAATTAATTTATTAACTTTACCTGGCAGCACAGTCATAAGCCAGCACGTCAGTCTCAGCCAGTAGATCTCCGTCCGTCTCGTGGTCACCTCCGTCAGGTCCAAGCTCAAAAAGCTGCACAACAAAAGGAGTGGGGTAATGTATTGTAAAGATTGTAATTTAAATGCCAATAGCAATAGTGAGTATCGTATTTGTAGTGAGTATCGGACAGTCGAGACAGAAAAAGTCTGTAATGACATTGACAAAATGCCTAAAACAATTACATGTGTCTTTGTTTAAAAGAAAAAAGGTTGGCTCTAAGCAGCTCACCTTGATCTTGGCAGTGTACTCCCCTCGTCCTCCGAACAGACCCAGGCCCCCAAGCAGGATGTCCGCATCAGCACAGAAGCGGATGGCCTCCACAGAGTGAGCCGAGTAGCCCCAGCCACCACCGTGACCTACAACATCACACATGGGATCGATAAGGCATTGCAACGTACAAGGAAGTGGTTTATCCACTTTTAAGTACTTTCACTCTGATCTGACTTGAACATTGATGTTGTGACTTTAAAGGTTAGAGGAAGAAGAGCTGGATAGACTCAAAAAAAAAATGAATCAAGCTAAAAATATATTATTATATATCTTTCAGTATGTTGTATCAGGCACGCGGGAAGTCAGTCAGAGTTGGGGGTGCGGCGGGGAGGGGGTGTGCTAGTGGAGCCTCGCAGCGGCGTAACTGTAGCTTACACCAGGGGTTCCCAAACGTTTCAGCCCGCGACCCCCAAAATAACAGTGCCAGAGACTGGCGACCCCCTGTCGACGGGGGTGTGGGGGGGTTTTTTTCCATTTTAAATTTGTAATCATCTCGCGACCCCACTTTGGGAACCCCTGCACTATCAACACAACGAGAGGCTGGAGGCGTCTGTCTCACAATACAGAGCCTCTAGAATGATGTCCGTGCCCGGCCTTTGTACTCCTCCCCCGGATGACGTGGCNTAGCACCCTCACATTTGTCAGCAGAAGACAGGACAGAAATACATGCAGGTGTAGACTGCGTTGCAGGGTATCTTAAAATGGTATCTTTAACTGTTTTTTTCCTATGGCAACTATTATGTTGATTCACTATTTATTTTACACTTTGTTTTTTGTTAAAAACTCGGAGTACCAACTCATCAAAGAGAATCGAGTGGTGATGATGTATTTGTTTGAAGGACCAGGGAGTGATTATAACAAAGGCTAAGAGCTGAGACAATTGGATTGTTCCTTTTGGATTTTGGAATATTGAAGTAAATGTCTTTTGCACGCAGAAGTTTTTTATACTTAAACTTGTTGTTCAGCAGGATAATCTCTACATACAAGCATAAAGGTTATCAGAAGAAGTAAATAGCTATACTATAAAGGGGTTCTCAGCAGGAAACCGATGGACTGTCCACTCCAAGTAGGGAATGAGTCCTTACCCCAAGTGAAGGAGTTCAAGTATCTCGGGGTCTTGTTCTCGAGTGAGGGAACAATGGAGCGTGAGATGGGTCGGAGAATCGGAGCAGCGGGAGCGGTACTGCAGTCGCTTTACCGCACCATTGTGACGAAAAGGGAGCTGAGCCAGAAGGCAAAGCACTCTGTCTACCGCGCCATTTTCGTTCCTACCCTCACCTATGGTCATGAAGGATGGGTCATGACCGAAAGAACGAGATCGCGGGTACAAGCTGCCGAGATGGGTTTTCTCCGCAGGGTGGCTGGTGTCTCCCTTAGGGATAAGGTGAGAAGTTCAGTCATCCGGGAGGGACTCAGAGTTGAACCGCTCCTCCTTTGCGTCGAAAGGAGCCAGTTGAGGTGGTTCGGGCACCTAGTAAGGATGCCACCTGGGCGCCTCTCTAGGGAGGTGTTCCAGGCACGTCTAGCTGGGAAGAGACCAAGGGGTAGACCTAGAACCAGATGGAGGGATTATATCTCTTCGCTGGCCTGGGAGCGCCTTGGGATCCCCCAGTCAGAGCTGGTTGATGTGGCCAGGGAAAGGAAAGTTTGGGGCTCTCTGCTGGAACTGATACCTCCACGACCCGACCACGGATAAGCGGGAGAAGATGGATGGATGGATGGATGGAAGGAGTGAGATAGAGATTATTATCTAATACATCTGATGAAGCATTGCATGAAGTCTGTTGATGATCAGAGGCTGTTGTTGGGGCTGTATAAACGTTTTTTTATTTTTGTTTTGTAGACAGACCATGCAGGCCTCAGAGAGTTAAACTTGGGCCTACGACCATAGTTTTACTGTATTTTGTTTTGAAAATCCACAGCGGAGGTTTGTGTCGTACTACATGCGGTGTATTTTGCATATCTCTCAGTAGCCAACAATCTGTGAGTCTGTTGGCTCGGACATAAACTCGTGTAATAAATGTAGTCTACATTTCATAATAAGAGGTGTAAAACCTGAGAGGATTTTAAATCGCATTTGAACTAAATGCTTATACAATCTGTAGTTGTATTTGTATTGTTGATTTAATGTGTGAACGAGGCGATATAGAGAAGGTTAAGCTGTCATTATTAGGCTGTAATTTGTTATATACTGTTGGAATGGGTAAGCAGGCCTATTGTTTTTGGATATTTGTGGAGTTAGGTGGTCCATGAGTGTTTTTTATTGGTTAAGTGGTCCTTGGTATGAAAAACTTTGAGAAACACTGCGCTAGTGGATTGTCAAAGGGGGAGCCTCGTTGCGGGGAAATTATACAGATGGCTAGTCCGCCCCTGAAAATGTCTATGCAAACGTTATTATTAATAATAATAAAATAAATTATAAAAAAACTTTTTTTTTTTTTTTCAATTTTTATTTTGTAATCATCTCGCGACCCCCACTTTGGGAACCCCTGGCTTACACTATAGGTGCGGCGCATTTGGGGGTGCGGGTGCTAGTGGAGCCTTGCAGGTGGGGGTGCTGCAGCCCCCTCAGCACCCCCCCTTCCCGCGTCCCTGTGTTGTATCATACATGATTTACAACAAATCCTGTTCAAAGATCCCACTTACTCTCGAAGCGGTTCACCACACTGTAGTCCTCTTTAGAGTAGACCTTCATCACTGCCTGGGTTTCTTCCTCTGCACTGGCTACACCCATCTTCAGCTCTTGCATGGCTGCCAGTGTATCCAGGCAACCTAAGTAGACAACCCAGTATACTTAATCTTAGTATTGAAAGATTACATACATAAACAAAAATGTATAATCTAGGAATTCCTGCACTTTATCATATTTTGGCCAAACTGTCTCTCAAATAAAAAAATGTACACAGTTAAAATAGCACTAAAATCCCATCACTCAGTTAATGAATGAACATTTTCATTAAAAATATGGGATTTATGGGAATATCAGTTCAATCAGGGTGGGGTCAGAGAAATCAGCTTTTAAAAAATAAGATGTCCGCATTGTCGATTATCACTCTTGGAGCATTCATCTTCACATTCCTACTACCATAAGAAATTCATAAAAGATTCATGCGACCAAAGACACTTTGCTGGATGGTTAGTGCAGAGGATTACCAAGGATGTGTAGGGCCCCGTGAGAGCGAGTAGTAGTGGCATGAGATCCTGAGGGCAACGCAAGCTCGGGGCTGAGGATGCTACAGCGAGCCTGTAGATCTGTAGCAGAGGGCATCCTGGCATCAGCGATCACTGCATTGTAGCACAGCATCTCTTTTGCAGCCGGCAGGAACCTAAAGAACCATGGAGGGCAAAAAGGGTTAGAAAAACACATTTAAAAAGAGACACATTAAAAACAAAAGGATAATCTGTCGGGCGTCTTCCCTAAATCTTGAGACTTGGAATGAATAGTACACAAAGTGGTACATACACGTAAACATAAACTAAACCAAATAGTTTACATTGTATTGCTGTGTATAGTTGATATTGACTGACCTCCATATGACATCATACACAGGGTCCAGACAAAGGCCAAATCCCTGCAGGTCCTCTTGCTCAGAGTCATTGAAGGTCCTGCAGCTTCCATCCAGTTTGTTGATAAGCAAGCACTTAAATGGAGGCGGCTCGGATACAGAGGAGGGCACAAGGCCAATAATGTGTTTGCTGGCAAAGATCTCTGAAGTTGCTAGGACATGGGAGTTGATAAGAGCCTCATCGATCCGCAGGAACGTCTGGTCCCCGCTGGCACCGATCCAAGTGGCCTTTCGTCCATATTTGGCACCGATGTTGGGCATGGGGGACGGCTTGGCATTCCAGTAGGGCATGTCCAGGATGGGCCGGCCCAACTGTCCTTTCTGAAAAACAATGAGGATCAATTGTCATTGTCTAGGGCAATTTGTTGTAAACTGTATCAAAAGCGAAATATATTGTGTGTAATAAACAAAGTAGTTAGTTCATTCTCTAAACAAGCAGTTGTATACACATTGTAACAGTTCAAATGTTTTACTTACCGAGAAGCTCCCGAATGTAAAGACCTGCCCATCAGTGAGAAGAACGGCTGTGTGGTTGCTGCCCGCTGTCACCTGAACACTGGGACCTGGAAGGGCCTGCACCAGAGTTGGAGAACCCCTAGCAGGTAGAAACATCAACATTAGGTTGTGTGAGTACACAAGTCTTTAACACTTAGCATCAAGTTTATTTCCAAGGAGGTTTTCACACAAAAGGATTCTACTTTGGCATATTGATGAATACACATGGCATATCTTAAAAATATAATTGTAATAAAATGACTGTAAAAATATGAAAAACATTTCATTGAAAAATGAAACATATCACCAATGTGACAGACACACACATTTAGACCTATGTATCAATTCTGTTAACATTACTTGAGGTGTGAATGACATAAATACTGTATTTATTTTTCCTGTGACTTGTTTCTATATACAGGTCAAATAGTTGGCTATCACATTAAAAACGAGGAGTGTGTACTTGCACATGCAACGGGGAAGGAGAGAGCTGAATGTGAGGAGACAAAGAACTAATAAATAGACTCTACTAAAAAACATTAAGGTCCTATGTCTTTCCTGAATTACTTTTCCTTGACTTGATTTTAATGAAGAGCAGTTTTACTCGAAACGTCACTTGGGTGCAATTATTAAGTGAACATTTGGATCCATTGGAATGTCAGTACATTTAAAAGGTGTCAAGGCAACAGAAGCAATACCTTGAGTTTACGTCTCCATGTCCAAGCTGTCCATGTTGGCCGTAACCAAATGTGTAGACGTCTCCATTCTCCATCAGCACCACTGAAAAGCAACATAACCATGACTGTTACCTACCTATTATCTTTACTGCAAGGTCAGACATTATTGTTCGAGGTGTTAGAATACATTTTCTAAAATAATATGCAGTCAAATCTACCCTGGAGCCTCACCAGAAGCAGCTTTGAGTTATATTCTCTTACCCGAGTGGTGAAACCCGCAGCTGACCTGCACAGCTCGCAGCTCACAGTCAAATCTCACGGCCCCCGGTGGGTAGGTGGTGATTTTGCTTGCATCTTTCTCTCCACGCTCACTGCTACCATCTACAAGGCAAACACACCAAGTCAGCACATTTAAGTAGAGAACAGGGAGAGAGTGAGGTTAAGTAGCAACTTCAGACCACAGAGGTGGAGGTCTCTGCAGAGTCCTGGAAAACAGAGCTGGAGGGAGAAGGGGCTTCAAAAGAAAATGGGGGAGAAAGGGAGAAGCATACCGAAAAAGAAAGGAGGGAACGGAACCTCTTAACAGAAAGGCTTTTGGGCAACCAGTCCCAAACATATGGATCTAGTGTTTGTTTAGCAAAGAGTTTGATTTCCAAAATCTGTCTGTGATCAATGAGAAAGAGGGAATCTGGTTTACCCTGAGCCCTGTGTAAGAGGTCACAGCTGTGTGAGAGGGGGGGGGGGGGGGGGGCCCATGCACTAGAGTCAATACAATGACAGTCAATACCTTTTTGGACCATGCATCAGCTCAATGTGGTTTACCTTTGTATCTGAAGCCAGCCAGATGAGACACCAGGCTTAGGTTTTGATACAACTTCAAAGTGAATGTAACATAAATATTGACTGCTTCGTGGCTCAAACATTTCTAAGGTGGGGTTGAAAGTTTAGCTCATGGTGACGGCTGTCAATGTGAGTAAAACAAAAAGGAACAGAGGTGCTCTTCAACTAAAGCAGTGTTTCCCAAATGGGGGTGCTTTGAAGCTGCAGAGGTTTGTGAGATATTCCTTCAAATATCAGTCATGCTTCATTCCTGAAGGAATTACACTATGATAAGTAAAAGAAGAAACTAAATGTAAACTGATGCAACAAACGCGATCATGTTCAGTGATGTTTTTTTTTTTGGAACAATAATGTTTTGAAATAGCCAAGGGGTACTAGGGTGAAATCATATTTAGAAAAGGGGGTATATTATTTGAGAACCACTTCTCTCTTTATTGTCTAAAGTACAATATGAGTAATTTGGAGGTCCCACACTAAAACACTGGTATTGTTGGTGGGTTGATTTTTGAGTAAACATTCCTCATAAGACCATGAAGGATGCTCAGGGGAGTCACACCAAACAAACTATCCTTACAATTGTGCATCAACCACAATGAATGGTTCTGCAAAAACAAAAAGTAATTTAGCAAATTAAAACATCCTCCATATCTAAACAGTCCTTAAAAAAAGGATACTGCTCTAAAATAGAATACTCTGTGGCGTCTTAACTTCCCATGTATGACAGTGGGAGAATGAAACAAGCCACTTATCGTTAACAATGAGTTTCTTTGTGGAGGGTTTTCAAATGGTGAAAGTTAACAGAATTTAATTTACAGTAAAGAGGGCACAATTCTAGACACTGAAAACGAAGCCTTGCCTAATAATAATAATAATCCACCAGCAGATCCACTTCAACCTGTGCCATCTATTTGCTTCAAAAGCAGCAGCAGCTTTGACGGAAGATGAAGACCTGCCCAAGTGCACTATCTACACAAAAAGATACCATCTTATTTTATATTATGGCAGGCAATGAGTGATACAGTTTGATATTTTACATTTTCTTAACTCAAGTATTTGCAGAGAGAGGACCTTTTAAAGCTCTAAGCCTGATCTGTGTGCTCTTTCCTCCTTATGGTTACTTTAGAAAGGAGAAAAGATTGTTTGTGTAACAAAAGCAAACTCCAAAAACAAGTTGCCTGTGTTTTCGTTGAATAGTAACTTGAGACAAAGAACCAGTACACTCACTTCTCTGATGGTTAAGTGCCTAAAAAGCTTACAGTAATGCTGTGACACATTTTATGATTTCCAAGCCCTTTTCATGAGATGATTCAAATCTAAAAATACGATTTTTAAACTAAAAACCCCTTTTTTTTTCCTTCTGGGTTAAATGTTTCTGTCATTTACTCTTTTTTTCTGCTAGCAACACTGCAGTTTACGGCCAAAGTGACAAATCAGTTGTAACTGGAGTGATTGTAAATCCAGTTACAACTATTTAGGTCAAACAACAGCATTGGGGCAGAGCAGACATCCTACTACAAAAATAAAAAATGTTGACCACAAAAAATCTGTGTTCTACAACAGCCCTTTCCTATGTTAGGGTCATGTCAAATTAAACTAATTAAAGGGAGCCAGCCTGTTGAGGTTGGTCTTTCACCCAATCTAGAGACTGCACAGTATGTGTTCCACTGCGAGAGTCCTTCTCTCCAAAAGCCTACATTGTTTGCTACCATGAGACCTGATGAATACACAAGAGTCCTGCCGTCAGAGAGTGAGAGAGGAGGTGGGCGGGACAGCCAGATTGGGAGATGAGTCAAAGGGGTGTCTCTGCACCCATTGAGTTAGTGAAAACCGTAGTACCTTTGTGCTTGTCCCGTTTATGCCTTAGTGCCTGAAGGGGTCTTATTCTGGCTAGGGCCTGCTCACGCTGGTTCATAAAAATGGGACCGGGATAAACAATGGGGCCTGGGGGAGAAAGAAACTTTCACATGCATGCACAATGCTCACAGAATGCGAGAGAACACATGGTAATACCACAACAATACACACACATTGAAAAATAATAAGGACACAAGCAAGGGGGAAGTCACCAAGACACAACACCCAAGCAAACAGCACCTGGAAGGTATTCAAAACTAAAAGAGGGAGGACATACATATTGTAGAATCTAAGACTGCCCCCTTCTTAGTAGATTGATTATTAATTGTTCATTTTGGTCCTTTTTGTATAAAATATATTTTATGGTTTGTCATGCTCAATCATTGAAATGTACATCTCTGGTAACACAATTATTAAAGTGGTGCTTTTGCATGTTTTTGTATATTCTACAGATCTGTTTATTCAATCAACTAATCCATTTGTCGACAAAATTCTGTTAGTTGACGAAGAATTGATTTAGTCGCCGATAGCACTAGTAGTTTCACCCTAATCGTTAACCTCCGCTTCCACCTTCTCACTCTCCCTGTAGCTATGTTTAAGTCTCTAGGGTAAAAGGTATTAAACCAAAAACACACAATCCCTTCCCTTCCCTAGACATTGTGCCATTTTGTTTCGCACTGATTTATACCTCTGCCTTCCTCCAGCCTGTGCCGGCGGTTGATCCTCTGTCGTTTCTCTTCCTGACGGATTTGAATGTGCTCCTCGATGTTCACTCCTGGAGGGGGAGGGACAGGCACAGCTGAAAACAAAAAAAGGCCCCAGATACAGGCAGCCAAGACAGGATGCAGGAGAAGGAGGAGGAGGAGGGAAAACGGAGCAGAGCAGAACAAAACAAGACACACATCAATGAATGATGGAAAGAAGTGATGGAGAAGCAATGACTCTGCACAACACAAGAATAAAACAAAGCAACGAAACATGTGCGAAATGCTGACTCAAGCAAACGCAACAGACAGTGGGATGTGTGGCATAAGCAGAGTGCGGGCATAGCTCAGAAAGATATATTGCTCGCACACAGCCCCGCTCAAGACAGTAATTTATTCCGATCCATTATTGAGAATCCAACACACAGTAGTGAACATTGGAATATAACCTCACACAGGTTTGTGCATGACGCTCTAACATGCATATGATTCATCAGACTTTGTGTCTTTAAATTAAAAATGTAAGTGGTGATATAGGTGAGATGTAAACAGTGAAAGTATGACATGGCAGATATGAATGTGCATACCTAGCAGCAGGTCCAGTGGAATCATCTCCTTCACTGCATCAAAGATGCCTCTCTGTCTGGCCTCCTGACCGTCCAGCTCCCTGGCGCAGGCCTTACAGCAGCCACACGCCGAGCAGCCCGACTCTCCGGATCCACAGCCACAGATACTGGGGGG